TGCAACCCGGAGGTTTCCTAATAGATACCGGAAGAAGAATTCACCAGTAATGATGATGTACATGAATTGTGATTAATCGTTATAAGCCTTGTGTTTCAGTCACGACCAACTTGTGAACACAACTGCCACTATAATAACACGAAACGTTACTGATAGGGTACACTTCTCCACCGATGCGGTTCATAACCTCGCCGAGATTGCGATCGATAACCTTTGCCACCTTTCCACATTCCTCCCTTCCCCCTTGCAACCTCCTCATCAACAGCATTCATCAACTGAGCCAATCGCAACACTATCACATCTACTATATTGTTAACCTTACTATTTCTAACGCCTGGGTCTGCCTTAAAGCTAGTTCTCGAATCGACTGTGCCAACGATATGTGGAATCTTCTATCTTCTTCCATTAGATGTACTGAAACAACCAACGGTCAAAAAAGAGTCTTTGCGAGAGTTTACAAGGCACGACGCTCTCCGGCCCTTCAGTATCGGTGAAACAACTGGAGTGACAAAACTCCATCGCGGCAGTGAGCAAGTCGTAGTCAGGATTCTCTCGCCCCTTGAAGCCGACACCAACAAGGTACCGCTCCGAGTTCACCTGAAGGGGTACGTAAAGAGGAGCACCAATTGTGAAGTCCTCACCACTCTTGATCGTTGGGGTTTAACGATGTAACACTTTTCGAATAGCCGCGTAGTGACGTAGATGATGCTAGCAGTGATAGTGCTGAAGGTGTCGAACAGCTTGCAGACGAGGAAGCCTCCCTTAAGGTTGCAGAAGTTCCGATGGAGTGGTATGAAAAAAGACGACTTACTTTACAACAACTCCTCACCATTGTGAGCACTTCTGACAATATGATCCTTGCTGAGTACACTTCCTGGTAGTTCTCGAGATGATTACCATCCTTGTCGGTCGATACCTCACCATCGGCAAATCATAGTTAATATAGCCCCTCCTAGCGCTACCTCGAAGCCTCCATCACCCATCACCAAATGGGCCCCTCGACCGTCCATCTTCATCACTGATCCCTCCAATGCTGCCAAATTCGATGGCGAATACACATTCCCTAAGTACGATCAGCGACGATTCGAACGAGGAGTGGTATCAGACATGTATGAGTGATGACAGGTCGCTTCTAATCGATATCCCCACACCTACCATCTCCATCAGGACCCCACACCGCATCGAAATCCTCAGAGTCCAGAAGATGCTGATACCTACCCAACGGGTGAATTTCGTGGCGCGTGACGGTTACCTCACCATATGCAGCTGGCCTCCTTTGACTGAGCCGCCTCTATTTTCAGACTCATCCCTTTTCCAATCGTCTTAACATTTTCACGTTCACCTGTGCATCAAATATACCCCTCCTCGCCACCACCATCGCGGACTACCAAGATTTTTCACAAGCTCGCTGAAGGCCCCAGGACCGCCACACACGTCGACATATCGGATTTTCATCTCAGCCTACAAAAATTGATATAAAAAATTCGCTTCGCTCCGCTAACGCCACCTCTTCTCCATCCTGACCACCACCCTCCGATCTAACCAACCTCAAAAGGGAGGGCCAAACATCGAGGGCGTCCAAAACCTACAACGACGAAAAATGTAAAACATGAAACGTTTCGCTTCGCCTTTCACCTCCCACAATTTATCCCCAGCTCTATTTGAGATGCCCACATTAGCACTACCGCTAATCGTAGTGGGGAAGATGCGCCCTCGAACTCGATGGTAGACCCTACCCAGACGCCGATCAAATAGTTGATCCTGAAAACATCATGTTTTAGAGTAGTTGTATGAAGTCGTTACCATCCGCGTCTTTTGCTGCCACAACTCATCGACTACTGTAGGCTCACAGAACAAGCCTTCACGCATCCTCGCCGGCTCGTGTGTTGGTACGATCTGACCAAGGTGTGGTATGAATTAATCATAATAATCCCTTAGGCATCACCTTAGGCTTGTTATCGGCCGTCCAAGGATGGAAGGTCAAATTCGTCGATACCCCCGAGGTGATCTCAAACCTACCCTAGGCAGTTGAAGCCCACATCAACATCGACAACCTCACACGTCCGTTCGCTCCAGCTCAGAAGCGGGACAAGGCGCCACGGGATGGGCCGAGACGGGCTGCTCTTGCTGCTGTCGAGGACTAGGTGCTCCTACCAGATTTATTCATACCACTCCTTCCACAACTCGTCCTATCACTCACCTTCTGGTGTCCCCTTCCTCTTCAGTCGTTCCCTAAGTGACACATGCTCCTGCCAAGCCGAGATGAACCCCCCCTCTCACCATGGTGGCGTCGGTGCCTCCTGGTTCGCCGCCTCTGGACACGATGACGACGCCGACTCTTCTACTGGAGGAGCAACCTACACTTGATAAATAAATGTGGGGTAAAAATGTCACGTGCAGGGATCGAACCGAGGGTCTTCCAGCGGCAGCAATACTACTAGTACTCTACTACCTCCTTTTCCTTCCCCTCCTCAGCCACAACGGACTCCTTTGTTGGAACAACTTCCTACAATCGAATGAAGGGATAAAACATCGTGTGCAGGGAACGAACCAGCGTCCTCCTGTCAGCAACACCTTCTACCTCCTCCTTCCCCGACTCGACTAAAGTCACCTTCATCTCCTCTCCTTCTGCAATAGGTGATGATGAAGATGATGCGGCCTCCATCGTGAGAGCCTTCGAGTGAGCTTCCATACCACTCCAAACGCAACTCCCACGTAAATACGAATGCAATACTAACGTGATTCCGGTGTATTCTATAAGTACGAGTCGAGATGTTACAGAAGTGTGGTATGAAATTAATCATCATCCTCCTAATAATAATACTCATCATCGTACCCTTATGCTTCTATGGGAGCATTTCATAAACTCACGACGGTAGAAGCCACCGTCAAGTAACCGATCGGGGAATAACTCTTCTCCATACCATCTATCCTTCACATCGTGCCGGAGGGCCCAACTCCTGCTCCTCCTCCTCATCTACTCTATCATCAGTCATCATGCCCCCCACTACTCCTTCTACTCCACCGAGCATGCCTTGACACCGATTCATCGAATGACGATACACTCGAACAATTCTTTCCTCCTCAGCTCTTATCGCGGCCGGTAGCCCCATGCCTTGGTATTGTTGCTCATAGTAGACCTCACACGATCGGGTCAATAACCCTACTACGCTGGCTCGACCATTGTAGAGGTAGCTATTCGAGAACATCTGAAATAAGTACGTACTACTACTACTACTACTACTACTACTACTACTATTACTACTACTACTACTACCCTGCGGAAATCAGCATCCACTTGCTCAGCCATAGCATACTGTTTATGATCCAATTTACTACAAATCATCGTCAAATCGATCGGGTCCGCCACCACTGCTGCATACCCAGGAGCAATAGACTCATCCGGAATCTTATGGAAGATCCAGCCGTTCACATACCGCTTCAACAAACCAGCAAGTTGGCGATATGGACCCCTCCAAGGCTGCCAGAAGGGTGAACCCATTGCACTTATTATGGGATAGAGCATGCGGAAATGACCAGTAGCCTTTTCACGCGGCCAATCCATAGTGGTGCAATTGTCTTCGTCCGACTTCATCACAAACCCAGCAGCAGTAGCAGGTTGCATCGGCAAGTACCGCAGTGCTGGAGAGGACGGGTGACTGTTCCCCTTAGCCCGCACTAGCCTATACACACGGCGAACGTAGGATGTCGGAGGGTTATGCGGCGCCAATTTGAGGTAATCAAAGTCGCCGCCCAAAATTTTCCTCTTCCGACAACTATGAATCTCTCCTGCAGAAGAGGTCAACAAGCCGTTCTCAGCCCTCTTCAAATAATGATAAACTTCACTATCAGCTGCTGCTGAAGACGCTCGTGCCGTGACCCCAAACGTATCCACTGCACATGGATCGCAGCCGTACTCCTCTACCAAGCAAACACAGGCCTCCAGCTGGTCTGTTTGTGCAGCATAGTAAAGAGCCGTCTGCCCGTTACAATCACGATGGTTAACCTCACCAGTCGGGGACCCGTCCAGTAGCCTTCTCATGGCCTCGACATGCCCTTCTCGGCTACAGTAGTACAAGGCTGTTTGACTGTGGACGTCAGTGAGAGCAGCTCTAACACCGAGGGAGAGGAAGAGGTCAATGGTGAGTACATGACCGAGCTGAAGGGGTAATAATGATATTTCCACAAATTCCAATCCGAATACTACCAATGCGGCATAAAAGAGTGCAGTTTGCCTCATAGCCCGATCGACCACGTGCGGGTCGAGTCTATACTCATTGATGAGGCCCCGACATACATCTCGACTACTCTCATCATCGACCCTTCGAGCAGCGTAAAACAACAAAGTCATGCCGTTCACCGCATTAATAGCACCCCGACAGTCGATGCCGTCCTCGATGCTGGCTAGACTGACCATAACAACAGACCGCTACTACCTTCCACAGGGACCCTCCTCAACCTACTGTACAGCCTCTAGAGCCTCCTCAGCTGTTGCTGCTGGATCCATCACTTTAACCACAAGTCGTCTCTCAGCCGAACCCTCTATGAAGTCCGATAACTCACCGTAGCTGAGAACCTAAACCATAACTTTACAACTTCGCTCCGCCTATTTTTATTGCCTCTTCCACCACTCGTGCTTCCTGTGCTGGTAGCGTGATAGGTTGGCCCGTGCCGAGGTCCACAACATTCGTTATAGTTGGGCTCATGATCGCGTCGGGGGGAGTCGACTCGTCGTCTTGGGATGTGGTAGTAGTAGTGGTCGGCATTAGAACGATGGTTTCAGGGAAGTTGTAGCACAAGCGGACATAATAAATTGGACCCTAAAAGACGGCTTGCTGGAGTAGTCGATCTTGGGCTCACGAACTTTTCACCGAGCGACACAAACGTCATGCACGCATGCACACACTCGAGTTGGACTCCTGAGCATATCTTGAGGTCAAGTTGGCATGATACGGATGAGGTTCACCATGGGTACAACTCCGGCCAGAGTGCAGCTCTTGAGGTAACTCCAAGGACCCCCGAGAGATCACCGTGAGTGCTTCATGAGTCGTTGTGGGATGTTGGGAAAACGCGCGCGCCCAGGCGGGTAAAGACAGCAGCTAAAAGCGTCCTAATTGGTATCTTCCATCATCGAACCTTGGATACCCACGAGCAACTCTTAGTTGAGATTATAGTAATGTAAAAGGTCATCACTAAAGCATGGTGAGCAGAAAGGACGTTTCACAATACATCCAATAGCATCAAAAAAGTTCAGCTCACCCTCCAGAAACAAGTATTTGCTCTCGTGAGCATCGGCTCGTGGAGAAGATAGAAAAACCCATGCCATGTAGTACGTGGCAAGTACTGATCGGTCCGATCAGATCGGACAAAATGAGGGTTGGGGCCCCAACTGGGGGGCATCTATAGTACTCCCAATGTGGTGGAATGCTCAACGGCTCTGAAGTGAACCACAAAGAACTTGACGATTCAGCTTTCATCAGGTATCAGGGTGAAAGTAACGACTATTATTGATATCAGGATATCAGTACGAGTTATTACAGTACTAGTGCCTCTGCAATACTGCTCAAGGAGGTTGCCGTGACCACCGACCAAGTATTGCAAATCGGTCTTGTACTACCAGGCTGGTACCCGGTACGATATAACTTATAATAGCCTATTATTAATAGGCCCTATTAATAATAGGCTCGACTACCCCTGGGGTAGTCGAGTCACTCAGTAATTCGGAGATGACTGTAACACAAGAGTAGGGTACAGAGAGGGGATGAGTAATTTAAGCTACACTCGGGACTTGGGTAAATCATCGAGTAGACGAGAAGCATGGTCGGTGAGGGCTTGTGATAAGGTGTGGTCTCGAGAAGGTGCCACCCAACGCAAACGACAGTCCCTCCTATGGTTATTCTGAAGGAAACGACATAAATCAGCGGAATGAAGGACTTCTGAATCCATGAAGAGGCAAAAACGTACACTACGGCAGGAGGGAACTGAGAGGACCATAGGTTGCAGGGCCTACGAGGATAGACGTTATGTTATTGTCACGACACGCATCGATACGCTCGATAGCAGCGCTGAGGGGGAATTCCAGGAGGAGTAGGCCAACAGCAGTCGGGAAATCCTGAACGTACCATGGTTACTTCCAAGGCTGAGAAGAGGTGTACTTCTCTATAAGTGAGCAGCCTTTTAGTGAGCTTGTTGAGAGGATCGATCCACGTTGGCTCGTCATCATGGCAGCTCAATCTGCTTCCATCGACGAGATCGACAAGACGATGAATGGCTCGCGATAAAGGGAGGAGACTCTCGCATGATGATGCTGTCCGACCTAACAAAAGCGTTTAATCTACAGCAACTCTTTTGGTGAGTCGATAGTAGCAGTAGTATCCTCGATGGCTCATAGCCTAACGTCATCCCTTGGAGATGTTCAATGCAATCACGGAAGTCAAAATTCTCCAGGAAGGTCTGACCGGTAGCGAGTTGTCCACCGAGCTCCGAGTCGATGGCAGTATGCATCATGAGAACGTCAATAACGGCGCTGATGAGGACGTCTTGTACAACAGCAGCATCTCCTGCTACTTCGATGAGCAGCTCAGTGATGAGGAGTTGTTGCTCGACCTGATTGGAGAAAATTCCTCGAGTTCTAACGAAAGTGGGGTCTCCCCCAGAGAACGTCCACTGACCGTAACTGACGTGTCCGCGCCGCTTCCGCACATCAACTGGGCTGCTCCAATGGCCCAACGTTTGAGCCTATCGTTGGCATCAGATTCAGTTGATAGATCCCTTATCACACTGAGAGCCTCTCGAGCTTGCGAGGGGTAATATTGCGTCCTGAGTGGCAGTCTCGAACATCCTCTCGTGCAGTAGGCTACTTCAGTATACTCTAATCCCCCATCAAATAACGTTTCATAACAAAAACGTACCGGATGTGCTCCAACTGATGATCATTGAGCTTGATATTGGGTGGTAGGATATGTAAGGCCTTTGTATACTCTAGAAGAGTCTCTAAGAAGTCCTCTATGATGCTGTAAGGACCCTCGCTGTAAATGATGATGTTTATTATTATTATGTCTCCTCCTCCTCCTCCTCCTACATTAGTCGTATTTTATTGCCTCTTCCCATAAGCCTTCGTAATGCCCCTTTACAATAGACAACCAATTTCCTATTGTTTTCTATATTGGTTGAATTAGGAGGACATGTCATTACAATATCTGACTGCGGGGCGGCTATGCCATAGCTCGAAGATATGCCTTAGTGTAATTGATTCCGTCAGCATAAAACAGCCAAGTTGAGTTGCAGATTTCGTCTAATAAAGAGAACGTGATCAATAATGCTTCGGTTCTCTGTGGAGCATGAGGGATCGAGATATGAGGCGCATATTTCACACGGATTTCTGATTCAACGCGCCTCAAGGTAAGGCACCTTACCGACCTTCACCTTATAATTAGGCCCCAAATTGTGGCCCCTGTGGAAGAACCTGACCGCCGTGGGGTATAAAAATCGCCTAGCGCCTTGCGAGCCTTACGGGGCTTGTGAAATCGGCTCCAGGCATACCTAATACGTTTAATCGTGCGAAACCGTCCGTGCAATTGGATTTTTTCACTCAGAAACAATTTTTATGACTTTTCGGAGATCAGGATAGAGATCTTGATGGCTCCCTCCGACTATGAGTCACGA